AATATATTACTCTACTACGCCCCTGATTTACAGACACAGATCTTGCCACCGCTATACATATGTACACTTGCCACACTTCGTTGTTTCACTCATAGCGAAGAATGAGGCAGAAACCCAAGAATTGATATCATTAGATTCTCTGCGGAGCAGAATGTTATTCACTTAAATATTTACAGTTCACACACGTGTAGCTTTTTCGAGCTTTTCCCCTAGTCCATGCAGGAGCAAAAAGCACATAAAGTTAGACCCTCGCGTGGCATTATAATAAAATTTGGTTGCGAAATCACTGCGTGATGCCTTCAAACATTTAAACCATTTCATTGTTACTCAATTCAATGAGCGTGAGGGGGAGTTGAAGAAGCGGCGCTTCAATGGCAGAACGAGAAAAAAAGCTTCGCTCATATGTTGCGTAGCTGCAAAACAGAGCCGGAAAAGTTGATGTTGAATATGTGAGAGACAAATACAAAAAGTAGTACAAAATAAATATTTAAGCTGAATATTTATTCGAATTGTGATTCATGTGTGGATGGGTATTGTGGAGTATATGAATGAACAAGAGGATGGTTAGGGGGAGGGTGGCAAAAAGCTCCGCGTGAATTCTGTAACATTGTTGGAAAATGATTTTTGATGTAAAAAGTTAAAAGCTCTGTGAGAATTTCAAGTTGCCTCATTGTGGGCTCGGGCGATATTTTATTCACAATCCAAGGGCTTCCTCACTCTCTTCTTGTGCCAATTCCCAAACATCACCCAGTTAAGATTTATGTAAACTAAATTTTGCTGTATTTGCCATTTCCTCCAAAGCTCAAGGCAGAGGCAGGAAAAAGAAAGGACTGAATGTGAAAGATGGGGAGTCTTTTGTCGTGTTATGAGTTGCATGGCAACGGCAAAAAGAAATCTTCTTGCATGCTAAATGTGTCAATGAAAGTGGGAAATATCTGAATTATTCGTTATATTCTCCTTAAAACCGATAATATCTCTTGATAGGCTTTAATCCACTCCTATTTTACAGAAGCTTTAATATAGGTAAATTCTCTTACAATTTCCAGAGTTTTCTTGATGTGCAATGAAAGAGCATGAAAGGCATTCTGCTTTGAAAACACTTACATGGATATTAAGATAAAATTAAATAATAAAATCGCTACTTCACAGTTGGATTCAATATTTTATTCTATTCCTACTTACGCATGGAAGGATCAAACACCAAGCGAGCGACGAACTGCCGAGTTGTGGTTCTAAACCATGCGGGCTTTCTATTGATTTTCACACTTGGGTGGGAGTGAGGTGCTACATCTGTTCTTGATTAGATTTGAATTTCTTTCACAAATATCTCTGCATCTGACCTATAGTCCACGTTGAGTCCGATATAGTTTAGCGTGTAATTCAATTTAGGATCTCTGAAGATGGGTTAGACGCTCGTCAAAGGAAAAATTATTATGCTTTCCTCTCTTTGCAGATGCCTTAAGTGAATTCTATGACGCTGGATGTGCACTTTGGTCTTGACATTTTACTTCTCTTGTGCTCTTTTATGATATTATGTGATATGTTATATGTTTTCCAAAAGTAAGGACCCTTATTTAATTTGGAGCCATTTTAGAATGTTAATGTTGTAGAAAATTGTGAATCTGACAAGAATCTACAAACTTCAAAAATCCACTTGGCGTATTTCACTCATGTATGTCGTTCTGACAGACTTGCATTGAAATTTAATGGAATTTTGAAGTTGAGTGTGAGATCTCGAAAAAGGTTTTATGAAGTTTAACTTTCAATCTGAAAATAGAACTGTAAAGACAAGAGTAAAGAAATAATTTGCAATTGCCTAGAAAGAGACGGCTCAATTTATATAGCGAAGTTTGCCGGAAAGAAGATATTGCCAGGGTTATTTTTACATTGGTTGTCCGTGGCAATACGTCCAAATAAAGAGCTTTCGCTGTGAATTGATGATGGTCACACTTAGGGGTATTCTGGGGGAAAATCGGAGGAGTGCACTTACAAATGGCTAGCAATAAAGATTGGAGAGATGCACAATTTGGCGTAAAGCTCAATTAATTTTTTATACATTTACTTCAGGAAATTTTCTAAAGTGCTCTTGTATTGTGAAGATTTTCAAGTGGAGCCTTGCGACATGGTCGTCAAAGGATTCATCTAGTGGTGCGATTGAGGAAATCCTGCGAGTGAAAATTTTATCGATAAAATTTTAGCCGGGAGGGCAAATTTAGGCCAGAACGTCGAAGCGATCTCATGTATGGTGTCTGGCTCTTGTGCAATGTATAAAATATCATGGAATGAATTACGACGAATGGTGCCACTATCGGACAATGATATATGAATGCGGAACTGGCATTTTGCACTTCACCATACCACAAGCAAATATTATCGCCTCCTGTCCATTCGGGGCCTCTCTTTTCTGCCTCCAGGACGCACAAAATTGCTCTCTCGCCCCATCGATGGATACACAAAATATTTCCACCGGCCATTCGTGGGTGGCGCCCCAAGAATTTCTCATGTGGTCATTCTTGGCCCGGAGCGCAATTCTCGTGGCCACTCATTTATATTTCGCCTCTCACATCCTTAATGGGACATCATCCGTGGGGGTTATTAATCAGACGCCACAATTAGGGTCACCCTCTCCGCCTGCAACACACCCCTTTCATGCCGGCCACTCATCCTTGCCACACAGAACTGTCGACGATTTATACTCACATTCCACATGGCAAAATGTGAATATATTTCAACAAATCGCCCAGAGCGATTTATTTTCATTGATCAATATACTTTGCTGTCCTCATGAAAAATCATGATATGGTAGCTCTCCTTCGTCGACCCAATGAAACGATGTATTTTTGTAGCGCTTGATGTAACGATGAAATTTTAACAATCTCCTCAAGCTATTACACTACACAGTTTGGGTTATATTTGCCTGGAAATTGGTTATAGCTTTGAAGTTCTATTCCTAAACTCTCTTATAAAAATCATTTTTGTTATTATGATATGTAAATTTAATAAATTTCTCTACTCTATGAATTTGGAGCAAACCATGTGCTCTAAAATGAAAACAATCATAAAACAAATCAGGACGTGTTGAAAAGTTTGGAAATATTTTTCACATGTTGAAAATAAATTTTCATATAGCTTTTTCGCCAGGAAAATATATGTATGTATGTATATTGCAATTGTACTGAATAGGGAACAAAAGTTAAAACAATTCCGGGATATTATTGGAAAATGTTGTCTTTGTGTGGCGACACAAAGAAAATGCAGAGCATTTTGTGTTGAAAATTCATAAATATGTCATGGAATGGTAAATCAGGGAAAAAGTTGAGTCTGTGGCATGAGGAAATGTGAAGAAAGGACGAAATCATTGTAAAAGAGTGAGAAGGCAAAATGACAGAATTTTATTTCATATTTTTGTTATAGGGTTTGTTTTCCACGAAGATTTCTTTTTCTCATGACAAAGAGTTGAACATTTCTTCACTTGTCATCACTGTAAAAGAGCAACGCGGTATTTAGGGGGGTAAAGAAAAAGAAAGAGACAGACTGAAAAAAAACTCTTGTACATAATATGATCTTGCAGTAAATTTGCAATTTTTCAATTCACCGTCATTTAAAATCCGTATTATATTTCCCTAATGAACAGTAGTTGAAAATGCAGTAGAAAATAATTATTTTTCATATTTCTTGTCCATCATAAAATGTGATTAAAATACAAGAGTGTGGGTAAATTAATCTTAATCAGCGGGGAAAAAACACGTGTTTTCCAAAGATGTTTCTTAGTCAATAGAAAAGTATTCCATAATTCTAGATTTGGAGTTATAATTAATGTCTTCTCGTGTGGAAGAATCTGATAAAATCATCTTTATTATAGAAACTAAGTGAAAATCACAGCATGGTAAACGTTTCAAAAACATTTCAACAATTGTGGAAAACGTTTGATGACAGGCTTAAAAATGATTTTACATTTTTGGGACAAGGGTTATTAATACTTTCAAATGATTTATACGTGGAATTTTGATAAAATATTACCTAAAAATGATGACAAAGTTGTAAAATAAAATCATAAATTTATACCTGGCTTTTTGGTCGTCTGCCTTGCATACGCCAACGTTTTGCCATTTAATTCTCATCCTTGTGCCCACCCAACGATAGTCACCCACCGGATAAAATATCACATAGCGTTTGTCGCACAGGAAAGTCCATTGATTGGAGCAGAGTTTTGAGTTGCATAGATTGAAGAATCAAATCAATTAGGAATTTATTTTTTATCTTTGGAAAAATTGAGAGCAGGGTGTGAATTGTATAGAATTTTTTACTCGAATTTTTATTAAAGAATGGGATTCTTTAATTTTGCACCTATTTAATAGAGTTGAGAAATATAAAGTCTGCATTTGAATTGTTTCTTTGCTTTTCACTTTCTTGCAACTCAATTGTTTCTCATAGAAATAATTGTAAGTGAGAGAAATAATAACTGCGGGTGGCACAACACCTGTAATGAATGAATATGCAGTAATTTGAAGACACTTTTGTAAACTGCAAAAGCTCCTATAGAGCTGGACAATAGTCCGCTCGGTCCGCTCTATGTGTGAACACGCAAAATCGTCTAAAATCTGATTTCAGTATATTGTGATTCAGGTCAGTACGGCTCTGAAAATAGGTTGTAATTTATAAATGATGAAACAAGACCGGAGTTATAGCAGTTCACAATTTTAATTTTGAATAATTTTGAAGACTTTCAAACTTTAGTCCTATTTTTCCGATCAAGTTTGTGCTGACTGGAAAGTTCTGGCAATACTATAATTTTGTCCAACAACAGCTTTTCTAACTGAGTCGCCTTTGTATGTCAATAATAAAATTTTGAAAGTTCATAAGACTTCATATTTCAAAAACACTTTTGGAATCCACCAGGTAACTTACTATCAAAAATGCATGAACGTTTCTTTTCTAAAGAGTTTTCTTCAATAAAACACCAAAAACATTTTTTAATAAATATTTTACTTAAATTTCTTTTCATTTATCCATCTTGTCGTCCATTTTTTGTATGTTCTCTCGCACTACGCGAGAAAATTCTGGGGAATTATTGTATAATATATTGTGTATAGCTCAACATTGATATATTTTAGATTTTCTTCATCTTTTTTTTCTTACATCTCTTTTCACCAATAAATCCACTTGTTTACTCCGCCTGTGCCACTTTTCTTTATTTCTCTCACTACACTTCATCTGCGGGTTTCATATGACTTTTTATTCGTACCTATTTTTGATTACTTTTTTTCCTTTCGTCGTTTGAGGGTGTGTTCATCTGTGTTTTTGTTCAATTGAAGAGAGAGAAAGAGAGCAAAAGATGATTTGCAAAATCTGCCATTTCTATATCGAAATGACATTTTATGATTCTTCTTTCTCGGAAAGATATGTGCTTTGGTTATTTCTATAGAACTGAATATGGTTGCCGGCGGAGAAAATATTGTTTCGATGCCAAAATTTCTGAATTATTATAATAATAACATTGTGTTTGCTCAATTCTTTTATTCTCTATCAGTATTGCTATGGGACTTTACTACAGAGGAAAGAACAAATAAAAATCAGTGAGTGGCGAAATGGTCCCACGCTGAATGAATTTGCCAATTTAAATTACTCACTGGTGCTTTATTGGTATATATCAAATTTTTCAACTGTCTATTTTAATTTCAACCATGTATGCATTTTGTTCTCTGATTCCCTCAATTCTCTCTCATTCGCCCAGTTTGTTCGCACAAGTTTTTAATGATGAAAAAATTCATATAGCTGATTTTATCTGTATCTTTTTTTTTGACTATTTTAGATAGTGTTTTGTAATTATGAGGGATGCATAATAAAAGTTCTCTTGTATAATTACAATACTTTCCTTTGACTATATCCACATTTTTATAATAATTATTATTATTCTCTTTTTTCTGTTTTACTCATAAATGCGAAGAGAGCAGGAGATATTTACAAATGAAAGACTAATTAAATGTAGAATTTTCACTCTTTTTTGCCTCTATGTTTTCACTTTGTTGAACTATATAATGTTAAATCTGCATTTCATACAGCAATTTTTGCTTTATCCTCTAAAAAGTTACTGCTTTTTTTTACTCACATAAACATTCTATCAATTTTTCAATGAAAATGTCGTCTTCTTTCATGTTGTCAGAAAAGTTCACATTTTTTCTCAATCTTCTCCTCGTCTTTCAGCTTTCATCTATTTATAGTAAAATACAATGTTTACTCGTATAATTCCATTAAAGGGCGAAGGGCGCAAAAGAGTGATTTTTTACACTGGTAATTCCATACTTTCTCCTCTTAAAAGCTAGACTAATGCACTTCAAAATGGAAAATTCTCTCTCTTTTTCTGTATCTTCAATTATTCTCTGTGTGTTTTCCATCCGCTGATTGGGGATTTCTTTTTGCCACACAAAAATCTTCCTTTTCCACAGTCAAAATTAATTTTCTCATTGTTAATGGTATCGACCGAAAAAAGGAAAAAGAAAAGAATTACAATTTTATATTTAGAGATGACAGAATTTCATCGTTTATGGAAAATTTTTCCACTCAAGGAAGATAATCTCAAAGATAATAAACTTTTCACACACACTTATACTTTTATACATGTTCCGTCATAGCTTTCATTTGCTCAAACTATACGGATATTACACTAATCAGTTTAATTCTTCTTCATCCACTTTCTGAAATCATATTGTTCTTCAGTTCTCACACGCAATTCTTTCTTTCAGCACTTTCTACACTTGCTTTTCTGGCAATAATGTGGTCGCAGGAAGGACAGAAATACAAGGCGAACTTGACGAGGATCAATGGCGAGTATTTCCGAATAAAAATTACTTTTAATATTAAGGAAACGTGACTTAAATAAGTGTACTCAGAGGAAAGATATTGGGCAAAATACGTTAAAAAAAGAGCCATAGTAATGGCCAAAAAGAATTATAGAATACTTTTGCTTCAATATGAGGCAAAAGATAAATAAAATTTTACGTTTCTGATGGTATGTTGATATAGGGTGTGAAGCATGTTTGTGACTTTTTTTTAATGAATTTCGTGTTTTTTTTACTACTTAAAAGACACAGTTTTTCTGTGCATAAAATTGTAGTTTGAGTGTCACAATCGACCCTTTATACTGATTGGTTTTAAAACGTTTTAAAGAATTGATAAGAATGTATGTATTGTTTATTATCATAATTTAAAGATATTTTAACGATTCAAGAAATACCCGCTTTCTCACTATATACGGAAAACATCGAATAATTAGCAAAATATCCGGTTGGAAATATCATAACTTGAATCTTAGAAATAATTAAAAAAAAAGCTACTTTCAATTAAAATAATTTATATACGTGGACTAAGCGATACAAATTATAAATTTCAAAGTTAGTCACAAAGCATGGAAAACTCTCTGAGTGTAAGGGTTAAGAGTAGTCAGAAGAACCCATAAAAGCGCGACAGTATCTGATGGACCACAGGGCGGATTGGTACCTTTCCGGAAACATTAGGGAGCGCCTGAACCACCGGTGGGCGCGTAAGTGGAAGCTACAGGGAGACAAAGTCACTTCCCACCATCGCACTTGTGACGGGCGGCAGAGGCGGTGTTGGAATTTCCTTCAGTGCCTCCTCCTTGGCGGCCGCTGCGAACATCTCACGCTCCAGATTCTCCTCGTCAGGCAGGGAGAGCGTGGAGTTGCCACTGGCTGTAATCCGTCGTCCCATATTGTCGTACTTTGGGCAGAAGAAGCTCTCGCTGCACTTCATGGCCGTCTCGTCGAGTTGGGTCGGCACGAAGGAAGTCTCTTGGCCAGGATGGCGTCGACAACTGGCGCCTGGGCAGTGATCACCCACACAGACGTAGTTGTTCTCCAGATTGTGGTAGTTCACCACATCGTCCTCGTGAATTGTGGGCACATCGCTCTTCGCTACCAAGCTCGTGGTCCCCGGTACGTGATGATGGCGACTGTGGCGCGGAAGTGTGGCGTAAGCCGAGGAGACGCTCATGGGGATCATCTTCCCCTTCACGCGGTTGGGAATGTTTAGGAGGTCTGGGTACATGTCAGGATTGTCTAGAGTTTCCGGCGCCACAGACACGGAGATGAAGATGTTCCCGTACGCAGGATTGGGCAGGACGCTAGAACAGAATTCGGGAGGAGGTGGGAAAACGCCCACGTTGAGCGGGAACTCCTCATTCCTGGAGATGTTCTCGATGGTGATCTGTACAGGCTCGAGAGCTATCACGGACTCACTTGTCTTGTTTGTGGACGGCGTATTGGCCATTTCGCAGCTATCCTGACGTTCATTTGTCGTTATACTGAGATCCAGGAGCTTCTTCTCCTGATCGTTGAAGCTCACGCTGCCTTTGATGTTCTTTTTGCGAGAACGCCGTCGCATGGCTTTCCGGCACACGCATGCCGCCACCGAGATCAATATCAGCGTGAATACCGTTCCAAAAGTTCCCAGTATGAGTCCGAAGTACCAGAACGTCTCTGGGGTCTTCACTATAACGCCGCGCGCCACTTCTTGCAGGAACAGCGTGGCATTCCGGCTGGTGAAGCCCACAATGTTCCGTGCGGAGCACGTGTACACTCCCGAATCGTAATTGGTCACATTAAAGATAGTGAGATTGCTCCAGGCCTGCTGATCCCACACCTCACCACTGCTCTCTGGTCCACTGCCCTCGAGAGTGTACAACATGCTGTCGCTGTCGAGTATCTTGCCATTAAAGTCCCACGTGATCTCGGGCTTCGGGTCGCCCGTGACGAGACAGTGGTAGGACACATTGCTGCCGATGTCCTCACTGAGGAGACCATCGCTGAAGAGATCCACACGAGGAGCACACCCAAATTGATTCTCAGCCACCTGCAAAAATTTAGGAGAAGTGCAAATAGCGTTGATTGGGAAAACCTCTTCCCTGAGTTTTGATCAAATCCACTGACCTGTTCCCATACGTGGCCTGTGAAGGAAAAGGGTCGCTTGCAGATAAGACTACTGCCATGTGGATAGCTTTGCAGATACCAATTGCGGAAATTTCGCAGCTTGCAATCGCAATTCCAAGGATTCTCATCCAGAGTGAGAGTTTTCAGGTTCTGCATGTGGACAAACACATCGGCGGGCAGAGTTTCTAGCAGATTGTTCTTTAGATTGAGGAACTCCACCAGAGCCACATTCTTGAAGGCGGTTGACGCCACAAAATCCACCCTGCAGTCATGTAAATCGAGGCTCCTGAGATGTGGCAATGGTGGAAACTGATTCGCCACGAGTCGCCTTAGAGGATTCCCGCACAGATACAGCAACCGAAGGCGCTCATTGCCGGCGAAAGTTTCGCGCTCAAGTGACTCAATCTCATTCCCACTCAAATCAATCTCCACGAGAATCTTGAGGTTACGGAACGCGTCTCGGTGCAGATGCCGTACATGCGATGACTTCACGTAAATCCGCTGCAGATTGATCAGGCCGCGGGACATGAACTCATCCCGATTGAGATTGCTAATGTCATTATCGTTGAGTGCCAATACTTGGACTTCTGTGCTCAGCTGCGTTGGAATGCTCGTGAGCTCGAGTGCATTGCATTGCGCCGACTTCTTCCCATTGATCCATTTGCAAATGCACTTTGGCGGGCAACTCGACGTCCAATCGTCACAAAAGCACTGTGTCACCAGCACGAGAAGAACTGTGAGAAGCCAATCAATTCTGAAAATCAATTCACTCAATGCGAATTTCAATAACTCACCTGCTAAGTAGTAGATGTCCATTTTTCAATTCAATCATCTTCCCCCATTCTCCGCATTGGACGAAGTTTCACCCAAAAGACGTCCGCACGTTTCTATAATTAAAAGAGAGAGAGAGAAAGAGAGAGGTTGGTTAGACACCTTTCGGGGAAAAGACACCCTCTAAGTCTAAATAAGTACCCTCATTTTCACTCTGTGAGCAATCGTGATGAACGCAGAGGTCGTAACTCTTCCGACTCATCGATAAATTAAATGCGAACGGAGGAAAGAAAGACCAACCCATGAGATAAAATAAAGCCATTTGGTGGGCACTTGCACGTCCTCCAGAAGAGCAAAACGCTTAGAAATAGTCCTCCATGAGTTTACGCAGAGATCTCGTCCGAAATGCGAGCCTCAGTGGGCAAGATATTAATTTCTGGAGTCACGAAATCACGACATTGTTGATACGTGACGAAATACAAATAGGGAAAACAAAGAGCGGTTATATTTCCTGTTCTTTTCTTTAAATTTTGTGAGCAAGGCAAATACAACATGCTGAAGAAACTTGTTTTTTTTTAGATGAAATTCAAGCTGTGCTCCTTGGTGTCAAAGATTAATTTAATCACTGAGTAGTGATGTTCATAGTTAATTATTGCAGATTATATTTTATGAATATTTGTGATATTTGTACTCTTATGAACGCTTAGACGTTTAGTTGTTACGTAATTGCTCCAAATATTCACTCTGTCACTTCTTTTCTACCCCAAGTGCGAAAAATAATAGAAGACCGCACGAGAGTACCACCTTATACAAGGTTTGGGGCCACGATTCGGCAGTTTGTCGCTCGCTCAGACTTTGATCCTTCCATGTGTAAGGACAGTAGGCCGAGAGTCAAGGAAGAGGCAAGACATGCTCTTCTCCTGAGCCCAGCGAGTGTATGATTAAAGAGTCCCTTTAAATGCTTCTACATTGTCCAGAATTTGTGCTCACATTTTCTCAAAATTTATCCTTAGTTTGATATTGCACACCACAAAATTTACAGCCCTAGAAGAATATTTTGTGGTATACTGAGGTTATTTCTGAGAAGCAACTAAGTTGGGATAATGTATCATTTGCTTGGGAGCCAGAAATCTTCTCTCGCTTACACGATGTACTTGAAAGCAGAACTCCAGTTCGTCACCTCACCTTTTCCGCTAAAAGGTGAGTGCGATGCCCTTGGGTCTTATTCGTGTCAAATTTCCGGAACATACATGTCAAGCTGCTGAGCAGAGTATCATAGTGGATTTTGCTAGCGTATGTGTGTGTGTCAATCGAGTAATTCGCTGAGGGAAAGACCACACTGTCGCTGAAAGAGGTGAAAAGCCCTCTGATATGCCATTTACCTCGGGATTTTCTCTTCCATCGTTGACACTAGCGGGAGAGAGAGAGAGTTGAAAGCCGAAGAGGTTGAGGAGTAGAGCAGTGCTTTCAGATTAAAAGAGGATTCATGAAAAATAGACCTGAAGACGGGGCGAATATGGATTTTCATCGTGAGGCGGTGTCGAGAAAAACACCCCACGAATGAGAAATTTTCTTCACTTGACGCGCCTCGTATGGAAAAACACTCGGTGGAAAGCTTGTAAACTTTTATACCCATGAATGTTTCTATGTCAACATTTTATTCTTCCCCACAGAGGGTAAAAAATCTTTTGGGATTTTCCACACACAGACACACATATTTCCAGCCCACCTTCTCAGTCAAGAGTTGAAGGTGGGGTTGCACATAAGGAAAATTCCATACTTTGCAAGTTTCGTAATGAAAATCATGGGAAGAATGCCGGATATTGAGACATTCTAGGCGAAAAATCGCGTCCTCACACGGAACAGAGACACACAACCTCACAGCCCAGGATGAAATACTGCACATATTTTTATTAAAGGGACACCCCTCGTATGTCACGCACATGTGTTGCAAGCCCCCAAAACTGCTCCCCAAACAACACTATTAGATGGGAATTTTCTTTTTGCTGATTCGTGACCCAGACTCTGGGATGTTTGCAGGCGACTCACTGTCTCGTCCACTCTCCTCGGCTGTAATATATCGGAAGCATAATTGATTATGTCCTCTCACAGCGAGGGTTTAACTGTGTGCGAGAGCGAGACGGCCTAATTCGGGCTGTTTGGTAAAACCAAAAATAATAAACTAAAAGCTCTTGTGCCTCTACTAAAATATTCTCATGTTGTTGATGAGAGTGAAAAACCATTGGAATTATAAAACACACAAATGAGGGATATTTAAATTAAAACAGTATATAGAGCTCAATGGGAGCAGAAAATTTATTGGTAATTTTCCCGTGTGTTGAAAAAAAAACCACTTTTCACATAAAAAATGTTTAAAGATTTGTCATTTTTCTACCACAAATTTGGGTAATATTTTCAATATAGCAATTATTTGAGCAAAGATGAGTGTTGTTATTTTAAAATATTTGACAGATGAAATTTTAAAATAATATAATAAAATCACCTAAAATATCTGAATGTAAGAAAATTAAGGCTTTTCATTCTCTAATTGATGTTAATGGAAATTCTGGAAAACGATCATATATGATCAATTCAGAGGACATGAATAAAATCCTCTATGAGTGGTCTAATTAATTTCATTTCAATGAAGACAATAGAGACTTCTTGCGCCGGAATATGTACAAATTCAGTGAGAAACCTTTCCCACAGTGCCGAGAATTCATATTTAGTTCCCTCGGGATATGCTCAGTACTGGGCATAAAATGGACCACCAACTTTTTGGTATGCGGCGTGATTTTTTCTCCCTGACGATATGGCGGACAAGGGGTACCTGAGATGACGGTTAAATAGTTAATCTCAACACGGGGAGGAAATCCGGTTTTTCGGGGTGAGACATTGGAGGGGGGGCGAAGGATGGAATGCCCAGGTAACATAGAAACTCTTGCCGATGCTTAGAGGGAATTTATATGGTGTGTTTGGGCCTCTCCTGGTTTTGAAAGCTTTGTGGTGTATGTAAAATGGTATGTAGCACAGCTCATTTGCATATTAAAACCCGTCTCCTATCCATTCCGATTTTGTACAGCATTTCTCTGAATTTGTTGCTACGGCATTGTTGCATATATGTATATATATATATATATATAAAGTGTTGCGAGCCATGCAATTCAGCCGCTGTGGAACTTACACATCATCGCCAGATACAAGATGATGTAATTAAAACTATGCCAAACAGAGCAAGTACTAATTATGTAAACATACACGTTCATTCTCCGGCCACTATTTCCTCAGACAAACCACCTCAAATGCACTCAAATGATCAATAAAACATACAAAGTCTTTAAAGCACCAACATATAGGCTCGTGGTGTTAAACAATGGGTCAAGGAAATTGACATTAGGAGCATAGATGATAATTTTCCGTATTGTCAACTTCGGAGTGAAGACATGAGGGAAAATACGAAAGAAAATAACTTTCTTTTCTCATTCAGACTCTCTTTCTTAATTTGCATTCTTCAGCAACTAATTGATAAATAATTTATGGGTCGCCCATGTTCTGAAAGTTTTCACGAGTAAATTACCTCAATTGAAAGCTTTCATTTTCCCCATTTTCCCCAATGCTCTTGATAAAAGCTCCAATTTGAACTGTGAAGGAAATAAAACTTGTCAAGAGACAGTATAATTCAATAAAAAAAATGTCTCTTCATCTCTAACTTTGTGTTCAAAGAGCAGAAAAAGAAAGAAACAATTGTGAAATGCGAATAAGAAAGGGGTGAATATCTAATAAAGTTTGCAGTATTAAAATCTGCTCTTTGCATATGATATTTAAACTCAAATTAAATATCCAAGAATATTTCATTCGCATAATGCAAATGAGCTTTCTCACCATGAGTTTATTGTATGTCAAATAAAACACGTAACGCGTCAATTTTGTATAAACATGAGCAATAAAAAAAATGATACGCAATTTACATTAATTAACAAATATGAAACGTTAGTGGCAAAATAAAATTGTTTTTTTGCCATTTAAAAACCCCCCGAAATCCATTTTATGTAAATTGTTTTCCACTCAGTGGATTCTCAAGGTTTTCCCCTCTGCCTGGCCCCAAAATGATAGTTTGAGTGAAAAGTTTGTTGCGAACTTTCATCAAAAGCCACGAGTAATTTATTGTAAAATTGCAGTTCTATAAAGAAAATTATTTTCATCAAATTTCTATATATTTCTCCTCTTCCTCTACTTTCTGCATGAACGAAAGTTTTTCAACTATCAATTTAAGGTTTTGAAAACTTGCCCATCAAGACACAAATTTCATCCTCCATTGAAAGACATTCAAAGCCAGGAATTTTTTCACAAAGTCTCGAATATTTTGCTCTTTTCGCAATTCTCTGTAGAAGTGGAATATAATATGCGCTACAAATTTCCAGGAACCAACTTGCATGAATAATTGAGAATAAAATAATTACTCCATCATCTGTTGAATTTATCTATTTGCCCAGCGAACCATGTTAATAATTCACAGCTAAATGCCCAAAGCGAGCAAACATTCAAATTTTCCAGCAAATTTTACGAAGTAATTCAGTATTGAAATTGTGGCTATCATTCATATGTAGAGAATTTATTATTACTGAGTGATTTTGTCATTTGCAAGGCATCTGTCAAATGTACAAGTCGAATTTGGGTTATGCCACTTTCGCCCACAATTATCGTTAATCTCTGGCGCGGGCATTATTGGAAATGTGTGGATGGTTGTTACGCGGATGACGAAAGCTGACTCCTGAAACTGTTTCTGCTCCTCATTTCTGTCTTAGTGATTTAGAGTAGATCAAATTATGAGAATTCATTCTGGAAATACGGCAGTGAACCTGCAAAGTAATCACATTCTAAAAAGTTTCATATGATTTCAAAAATATACATGTATTTCTGCAGCTTCTCTTTTTTTTTATTGAAAAAGTTGAGTTTATAAAGCCATATAATTGAGCAAATGTACGAAATTCAATAGTCAATATAGACTTTTCCAAGAAAGATTTGGACTTTTTCATTACGAAGATAAATTTATTCTGCCGGCGGAGTGAGGGTGAGATGGGTTTTCCAGAGTTATGCAAAGTTTCCCAATTGAGGT